AGTATTTAAACATGGTCTTAGATTTAGATCTTGACTTAAAACTTTATTTGCTTTTATCTTCCTATTTTGTTCTACTTATAATTCAAGCAAAGAGATCTATCTAAAGTTTTTTTCAATCATAATTTAAATTTTATTCAATTTCAAAGTTGTATGAAACTCTTCTAACAATATTATTTTAAATGTATTTCATAGCAAAATAGATATAGTTTGATCCATATAAATTTACCCAAAGCTCTCAAATTTTAGAAAATTTTTGTTGAAATCATATTTGTTATCCCTCTTGATTGAAATAGCTTTAGCTGAGATAATTTATCATTTTATTAAATCCAATTATGTATGCTTGTAGTCTTATAAATTTGTTCAATTTATATTGAATCTTTGCAACAATCATTTTCTTATCAACTTCGCAGAGCACTGTTGTTCAAATGCAACAAAAGAGTGCAATGCTCAAATTCATGATTTCTAGTTTGTTATCATTATCTAAGGAATTAGAAAATTTTCTTGATCCCCTGACAAAGCCTTTGATACTTTTTAAGACCAACTTTCCTTCCTTATCAATGATTTTAATATGGATGCTTTGATTTCTTCTATATTTTTGTTGTACATTATAGATCAAGTGAGTTTGATAGAGGTTTAACATAAATCTATATAGAGTATCAAAGAGTGTGTTTCATTTCTCAATAGATTTTGATATCCAACTAGGACTTGTTTAAACAACAATCTAATATAATATTAATAAGTTCAAATACTTATTCTTACCTTTTTTGAACACTTTTATTTTATTATTTTGACATTTACATACATATAACATAATTCTTATGTATTTTCTTATCTCATACTTTGACTGTTATATTTTCACACATAGCAATCAAATCTTTAACATCTAAAAAAAATAATGCTATTATGACTTTTTAAAAGTAAAATACATCTTTTCATGCATGTGTTTAAAGCACCAAAGTGATATATATGTAAATCTAAATGTTTAGGTTACTTTCATTTTTTCTATATTTTTGTTGCATGTTATAGATTTGGTGATTCTGATAGATGTCTAGCATAGATCTATATAAAGTATCAAAGAATATGTTTCAATACTTGATTGACCTTGATTTCCAACCATGTTTAGCACTTGTTCAAAACACAATCTAATATAGTATGAATATGTTCAAGGACTTGCTCTTACCTTCTTTGAATAATTTTATTTGATTACTTTGGGCTTTTACATTCATATAACATAATTCTTATGTATTTACTTATCTCACAACTAGACAGTTATATGCACACACATAACGCTCAAATCATTAACATCACAAAAAATAAATTTTATTACCACTTTTTAAAGAAAATACACATTTTCATGCATATGTTTAAAACACCAAAGTGATAAAAATGTAAATATGAAAGTTTATGCGTGAGATATGTAAATACATAATATATATATGCTAGGTAAATTAACCTTGATTATATATACACACCCTATTTGATCATTTTTCAATCAAGGTACAAACATAATTCACACACATATACAAATGCTATCAACTAAAAAACATATATACTTTTCTTTAAATATCATTCAAATATGATCAATCAATGTTTATATCAATAAATATTTAAATATCAGTCTCATGAGATATCCTTATCCATTCAACTCCAATTTGCTATATTTGTATATATCGCTCCAAAGTAGGTTTTAACTAATTTTTTTGTTGTAATGAGAATGCTATAAGATTAGTCATTTCATCTTTCTTCGGTGTTAATGAAGATGTGGACAAAAAGTATGTAGATATAGTAGATGATGTGGACATAAAACATATAAAACAAGTGATGATAGTCATATAAGGTGCAGATGTTAGTATTTTAATGGATGCTCTAATGCTAAAGTGTCCATTAGAGATCACAACACCAATTTCAAATTAATTTAGAAAATTTAGCAAATGAGATTCTTTGATTCTTCATATAACTTGGGGCTACAAGCAATATTTTAAGCTATACACAATACATAACTAACTCTCATTCTACAAAGAATGGTAATTGAAAGTACCTCCAATTTAATATCTGTTAATATGATTATGTTATGCTTGAATTTTTTCTTTGATCAAATGTGAATTGGAAAAATTTTTAAAGAAAAAAAATCAAATAAAGCAATTGATTTATATCAGTGAAATGAAAATGTGCTTTAAACTCAAGGTGAATAAATTATATAAAGAAGTATGTTATAATTGTTATGCTTTGGATATATAATTATGAAGCTAGTGGGGGAAAATGTTGATGAACTCAGGTTTCTTTGAGAGTTAAAGTCTTGAATAATAACACATCTGTGCCTTATATGTTAAATTAAAAGATCACTAATACACTCAAACATGATGCTTTAGACATATAAATGAGATGCTCTTGAATATGATCCTAATATGACGCCACAAATAATCACATAAGATGTGAATAGACATTATGACCTTAATTTATCTTACAAGAGGTTTTAGTTATATTATGAATAAGATATCACCTACTCTTAAATTATTCTCTTAAGAGTTACCTTCTTTTATGATTATGCTATAAATGGAAAAAAGAAGAATGATTAATATTCTTTAGTTGGATGGTGAAGAATATTCAATTATAATCACTTTACTTTAAGTGTTCATATTATAGTTTTCAAAAGTGCATATCACTTATGTTAAATGTGCATGGAATATTTTTGAACGCACATTAAGGATGTATTTTAGTTACGATGGTGTCAGAAAAATCTATTTCTCAAAATTATCTTGTGACACAATAGTGAACATAAGAAATACCTAAGTCTTGCATGTATTTTATAACCAAGTGGAGAGAGTCATTAAGCTCTATGAATAACTTAGTGTTCATGATATCCAATGCACATAACAATATCGTCAGCACTTTCTCAATTATTTTCTTAGAGACACATCATTGTTGCACTTATTATATCATAATGAATATCAAAATTCAAAATTGATAATTATAATGAAGAATATCACTTAAAATTCATAACGCAAAAAATAGTTGAGTCTTATAAACACTGAGAAAACCCATGTTAATAGCCCAAACATAACATTTTATTTGGAAAAAAAATTGCTTTGAGTGATGATTTCATGCTTTTTTTATAAAATGGGTAAAACACACTAAAAATGATATTTTAAGTAGTCTTAAAAATATTTCTAAGAATGCTCTTTGCTATCAAAGGATAACATTATTAGAATTTTTGATGCACATGATGTTGAAATGATTCTTTGAAAGATGTGATACTTCAACAAATACACAGAAAACCAATTTAGCAAAAAAAGAATTTGTGTTAGAAAATCTCCTGAATAAGGCCCAAAGTTTAATTGCTTACCCCATTAGCTAATTTAAACTGCATTTCGATGGAGAGGTTGATTTACTTATAAAAAATATTTGTAAAGAGTTTAAAGTTATTGGACTTTGGTGTGAACAAGTGCTAGTATATCTTGAGATCTGGGCATTAATTATTATAACACATGTTCAAAGCTTTATACACAAAATATATTGTTAGCAGTATGTAATAAAAACATATATCCATTAAAAAATGAAGAAATCTAAGAGGTTCCCAAGACAACAAAAGGAGTTATTTTAAGTCCATTAGTGAAGTTTACGAGTAAATATATAAGAAAAATAAAATTCTTTTGAAGGGAGAGGAGAATGCATTACTATGTAGGTGTAGTCCATGTGAAATAAGAGGTCATAATAAAGTTACTACATTGTGGAGTGGCCCTCACATTTATGATAAGTTTTTGATCTATTATTCTTATTATTGAAAGAATGTTATAACTAACTAAATCAATTATCATTTTGGAAGCATCTAATGATGTAATACTTCTTATTGTGAAATTTTATAATTTTCAATTTAGAATTTGTTATAGCTATAAGATTATTTATTGTAATTGCACTCAAATATATTCACTTTATAGTATGCTCTATTTAAGTTACTGAAATGCGCTATATTGTATCTGTTTACCAAAACTTGTTTGAACTCTGATTAACTCATTTTCAAACTCTATTCAAGCCGCGAGACTTGATTGGTGAAGCTTATACAAACCTTATTCAAATCATGTTCAATATTTGAATTTTACTCAAATGAAATCTTCAATTCAAATATGATTCAACTAAGATTTATGTAGGGTTCAAAATTCAACTTGCCTCATATGTTGTTGTATACTTGTTTGGACCAATATTAGTTATGTCAATAGTCCTTAGTGTTTTAGTCTTAAAAATTTTGAAGTGTATTTTTTCTCAAGAAAAAAATAATGAATACCTTTTTCTAATTTTCATTATTTTGAGGTATATAACATAAAGGTAGTTTTTTTTAAATATACTTAAATTTTTTTGCTTATAAAATCAGTCCTCAACTCAACTTCTAAATTAATATAGGAGCATTTACATACATACCGCATAGGTCCTATCCATTGGCATATCTAACATTTAAAGTTAACTTTTTTTTTTTTGACAATTTACAAACACAACCCACAATTCTGATGTATTTACATACCTCACTTTCATATTTACATACATAACATTTTGATGCTTTAATTCTATACATGAAAATATGTATTTCCCTTTTAAAAAATGATAATAATGCTATTTTTAATTTGATATTCGAGATTTGAGTGCTATCTGCATAAATGTAAAAGTTTAGATGTGCAAAATGTAAATACATTAAAATTTTGTGCTTTATGTATAATGCCCCTTTCTATATTTATATTATCTTATCTATACATGAGAATATGTATTTTATTATTTTTTTTATAAACTTTAAAAATAAGTTAATAATATTATTCTTATATAATGAGAATATGTATTTTATTATTTTTTTTATAAAATTTAAAAATAAGTTAATAATATTATTCTTATATAATATGAAAATTTTGAATGTTATAATTATAAAAATAAATATTTTATTAATAGATACGTCAATTCCATGCCCGCTAAAATGTCTACCATAGCAGCTCGCAAGCGAAAAAATATTACACGCGGGCCGGAATGTATCCAGACTCCAAGGAACAGACAGCGGCCACCAACAGGAAAACTCAGCCCGAAGATTCGGCGTCTAGGGCTTCCCCAACGGTCTTTCCATCTTATTTCTCTCCTCCAAGCTTTCGGTCATCGGAGTTTCTCACCGGGCGTTGACGGAGATGAGGTTTTTGAGAAGATCTATGTTGAGAGCGCGAGGATGGATACTTGGAGGTAGCAGCGGAGTTGGGTACGGTGCGAAAATGCCGCTGTATTTTGATCAATTACGAATTTCTATAGTTATTTATTTTTAAGATCGTTGCTCTGATTTACAATTTAGAGATTCTAGCCGTGCCTGATGATATGGGATGAACAACTAATTGTGTTTCCCTTACAAAGAGATAAATTACTTTATCATTTTAAAACTTTAGCTGTTTTGTAGACGTCGTGTCTGCTTGTTAAAAGGGGATAATGGAGTCCTCCATGCTTTTCTCTTTGATTGTTGCTATAGAGGAGCTTAGATATCAAACCCCATGGGCAAGCCACTACGAGTGATACCCTAAATTTGTGATTGAATTTGGGATCATTTGGTTGCAGCACATTTTAGAAAGTTGTGATTTTTTTTTCAGTCATTCTCAGAAGGCTTTAGGAAAACTAAATGTTTTGAAATTAACAAGGCCTCACACAAGCTAAACCACATAACTACAACATCTCTAAGCAGAAAATATAACACAAGTGGACCATTGTTTTAGCTAAATTCCCGGTTACATACACTCCCTTTCTAGAAAATTATCAACATATATTGAGGGAGTTTTCCACTCAGCAAGCAGATTAATCATAATATAGTGATTTGAAGACTAATAATTCAATAATCATATAAATTAAATCATAACATTTATTGAATAAATGTATGAAATATTTCAGAGGAGTTGCATGTATTAGAATTGACATGCTTTAGAGTAACGACATTAGAAACAACCAGGCAGGTTATAGATCTTTCAGTCATCCAGGTCACACAGATGAACAAAACTGCAACATAAAGGCATAGCTTAATGACAGAGTATTATGAATTAGTTGCAAAAAGTTTCTGTACTGGCCATCTTAGACATAAGGTCACATATTCATACTTATGGCATTGTCAAATTTAAACTAGTCATATGCAAGCTAGTTGTATATTTCTATCTAGGATCTTTTTTTCATGTATCTTCATAGTTTTCCAATAAAGATATATTTTTTTATCAGGCACCCTAAAGATTAAACAATTATAATAAAAAGTATATAGTTATTAAAGAATAAAACTCTTTCCACAACTATTCTTTTAGTTGACTAGGAGGATATATTGATCAACCAGAATGTGTTTTTTTATTTGCTAAGAAGATCTTTCTAGCTGATAAAACAGTTTTTGAGTAGCTAGGTTGGAAAATGTAGTCAGCTAATACAAAATCAAGTAGATGATTTAAGTCAGTACAAAAGTGAAAGAATTCTATTATTCAAAAGCTAAAGATGCAAGAATTGAAGATATAAAGGACCTAAGTGGGACAATAAAACCTCAATCGAGGATGTTTGTAAAATCAAGTGCAACAAACAACTTAATGCTAAATGAGAAGCTACTGTTACATGGGTACCGCTATGTAATCATGATTGAGGAATGTGGTCACCGCCAGTGTGACATAACAAGTAAATAAATGGCCTTTCAAGTTTCGGGAGAATTGTACCGATACATTGAAGGATAGATATAACGTTAAAAGAATGACCGCAATGCTGACAAAGGAGCATCATAAGATGAAGATGAGAAAAACATGCAATAAACAGTTGTAATGGTTGCAATTGAATAGTATAACAACAACAACACTAACAAACCTTTATCCCACTAAGTGGGGTCGGCTACATTAATCCTTTTTCTCCATTGTGTCCTATGGAGTGTCATATTTTCATTTAATTCTAATAAATTAAGATTGTTTTTAAGACAATATGCCAAAGTTTTTCTAGGTCTACCTCTGCTTTTCTTAACATAAGTGGAATCTAAAACATATAGTCTCAAACAATCTCCTAATCGGATCATCAGATGGTCAACCTTTAACAAATCATCTAAGACGACTCTCTCTAATTTTGTCTGCCACTGAAGTTACACCAACCCTATCACAGATATATTCATTTTGCGTTGTCTCTAAGTGTAAAGCCACTCATCCACCTAATCATTCTCATCTCGGCAACACTTAACTCAGTTTTATGCTTCTCTTTTAAAGGCCAACATTCAGTGCCATAGAGCATTGCAGGTCCCACCACCATCTTATAAAATTTCCCTTTCAGTCTAAACGATACTTTTCTATCACACAATAGACCCAAAGCATTTCTCAACTTAAACCAACCAACTTGAATTCTACTAATAACATCCCCATCTATATTAACCATCAGTTTGAACAATAGACCCGAGATATCTAAAACGTTCACACCTTTTAATAATTTAATCATCCATTATTACAACTCTGTCACTAGAGCTACTACCACTAAAATTACATTCTATGTATTCAACTTTAGTTCTACTTAAACGAAAGCCTTTAGATCCAATGTAGACCTTCGTAGTTCAAGTTTTTTTAGCTTTCTTTGAAGTCTTATCCATGAAAAGGATATCATCAGCAAAAAGCATACACCAAGGTACATCCTCGTATGAATGTTGAATAAGAGCATCCATAAATAAAGCAAAAAAGATATGGGCTTAAAGCCCATCCATGACGTAATCCAAAAATAGAAAATATTTGCTCAATCCTACTTCTGTTCGAACACAAGTAACAACTCTAGTATAAGGATACAATTCAATAATAAAAAGATAGAAAATTTTTTTAATTCTAATAAGGAGCATGAAAGTGTTTTTTACTTTTTCTTTCATGCATTTGTAATATTCCTTTAATGTGAGAGTAGGGGTCCAATAGGATTGAATCATAGAAGCCTATCGGGATACTAGTAGGTGTTTATGGTGGCTATTACTTAAGATGGTGGGCAGCATGTCATCTTTTGGTCAAACACACTAATGGGATGGCTACAGCACCTTACTAACATGTTTAGTAAATCATCAGCTTCAATTTGGACTAAGTAAATCCCTTATTCAGCTATATCGAGCCAATTCCACAATTGGTTCGGTTTAAACAGAATATATTTGTGTTGCTTCAAAAACACTGGCAATTACTATTCTATTAGTCATAACAACATGGTTGGCTGCTACCTGGGTTAGGCACGTCACATGGACTAGCTAAGTTACATGGGCCATCCTTAACATCATCGCGGTTGACTGGAATCATCTAGGTCGACTACCTGACCTCACCAGCCATCAGGGTTGATTTGCAGCATCTTGGCAAACTACTCGTCTAGACCACCATTAGGGTTCATTGCAATATCTCCATTAAAAGAATAGGAGATGGATGTAGAATTCCTTTTAGCGATCATTGAAGTCAGCGTTTCTCCACCTTGGTTAGCCTTATTTTTTTTTATTATTCAGGTCTTCATTCTACAGACCTTCTACTTTCTTCTTTGAATTCAAATTTAGCTTTGCTTTCAGGAAATTATATCTGTATTTTAGAATTTCTTCTTTAGATAACTACAGATCATCTCAACTCTCAACCACGCTGCAGTTTTTTTTTTTTTTTTTTTTTTTTTTTTTTTTCGCAGTATCTTAACTTGTGATTGATCCCTTCAACCACCTTCAGTCAGCTACAATATAGACAAAACAAGGTCGCAACAGCATTGCAAAATGCATTTCCAGCTCTCAGGTACCCTATGGTTGGAGGACTACAATGGAAGATCTTCAGGAACCTCTTCTAACTGAACACAAAATGACAGAAAACTTCCCTCCAATCTTCAACCTGCAGCAACTCACAGAATAGAAGATTGAAGGAGAGGGACATTTTTACTGGATTATTCCAAAACATGTGTTTAACTGCAAATCATCCTTCAGTATTTGTAGAAATCATACTGAACGGCACACCCAGGCAACACAAGGGTAAAAGCATGATTTAATTAACCTGCAACTGTCCACAAAATGATTTATTGGGTTAGTTATGAAGAACTACAACAAAACAATAAATCACAGTTAACAATACCCACCTTTGTTTATATAGCAAAATTATTTAGAAACCGAATTCAATATCTCATGACAAGGGTGAAACTTGCATGTATGTAATGATTTTGTTAGCATGTTTGTAGGATTATTGATGCAGGAGCAATCTAGGATTGTCCTAGTATTTGTTTTTAGTCTTCTTTTATGTTTTTGTTTTTTTTCTTTTCTTTTAAAAGGGTATAGTTAACACTGCCGTTGCCGGTCCCAAGTCCGGATGAGAAAAGTGAAGGGTTGCGTTAGGTAGTCGACAGCCAACGTAAAACTTGTCGAAAAAATCATGACATGAATCCTTTTGATCATTGTGTAAGTGCTAGGGCGTCCCCTGGAAGCGACGCGCTGTATAGCCTGAATATAGTGAAAAGTGTGCAAGGGCCGCTACACCGGCGCCCGGGTGTAGTGTTAAATAAGCAAGGGTTCCCACATTACGGACGAATGCGAGTAAAGAAGTTTGTCCATGAAACTAATCAAACTAATGAAACTAATATTAGGATAGGATCTTGGAATATAGGCACTCTCAATGGTAAATTAATGGAATTAGTTGATATTATGATTCATAGAAAAATTAATATCTTATGTATTCAAGAAACTAAGTGGGTGGGAGAAAAGGCTAAGGAGATTGATAATTTAGGTTTTAAACTTTGGTATTCTGGTAAGAGTCGCACTAAAAATGGTGTAGGTGTAATTATAGATAAGAGTTTGAAAGATAAT